AAATTAGCACAGAAACAGTACTATATAACATTTTAGACACATTCTAGACAGTTTATCAGCTAAAAAAAGTTAATTTTGGGGTAAGTTACTCTTTAAAGAAAGAGGACCTTTGTGTAAATCAAAATGAGTCCAGATTTCTCAGCAGTTTTAGGACAAACGAAGCTGAAATTTAATTGATTGCTACCTTAAAGTAAACTCAACGCATTCTGAATGCTAAGCATAAGTTTAAGCTAACTAATGCTGCTGTATTAGTTAGCTAATGCTAATTTAAAAAAACACTAATTCAGCCATTTTAAAACTTACAGAGCTGTAACCTGTTATAGTAGTAGCCAAGCTCTGACAAATTTAAATAAAAATTCAAGATAGCTAAAAAGCAAAATGAACCATAACTCAGTCATGACATATTTGGCTTAAATTTGGGATGAAAGTAGATCACAGTAATCTCTAACAAACAGTAAATTCAAATCTTTATTTAAATTGGAGGGCACGTGGCAAGCCCTTTCATGGTTTCTCCAGGAACTATTCTAGTTGATTTTTTCTTCATTTGAAACCAAAACTGAAGATATTAGAACTATTAAATAGATTTTAGACAGGATATGAAGTGTATGCAAAGTTGGAAACTGATTTCTTGTCCTTAAAGAAAATGTGCTGGAGCTACGTCAACTTTAAGGACAGGATAAGCAGGTCTGCCTAACCTGAACATAGTTTAAAGTATGCAGTTTTTACTTTGATAACAGTTCTGCATACTTTTCATTCCTGCGTCTTTACAAGGTCATCACAGATCGTTAATTCTAGAGCGCATGGGCTCTAACAGATCTGTTTTTTAGGCAAAGCTTCATGAAATACAGATGTTTGCCACCAAAGTCAACCAAACACGACAGTGTTTCCCTGCAGAGTAAAATGCTCGGGCTGTTCTGACTAAAATCATCATTCCTTCGTTCACAGAGGGAGCCACGTCTCAGTGTCTGTTAGGTGTCACAGAAATGACACGGACATTTTGGCTTAACAGAGCCAAACTAAAGTCCAGATTTCTTCATGTCTTAAGTTTAAAGGGGCCATATTCTGTGTTTCTCAGGCATATATTTAAATACTATACCATAATAAAGTATACATGTCACCTTTAGTGGTTATTAAAATGCTGTTTTTATGT